CTTTTCTCATGCTATATCATACCTTTAGCTGTGGTAAAAGGCAAGTGATCAGTATTGCAGCTAAGAAATTGACTCGGATGAAGTAAAACACAAACCTATAGGTTAACTGCAATTTCTTATTTTTCTTAGTTCATCCATTGTTGATTCAAAATCAGAGACATGTAAAAAATGCATTTTAGATCTATTTTTTGTCTCTCTCAAATCATTTTCCAAGAAGCACCGAACTCATCAGTTGAGCTGGGTAATAAGAGACAAAAGACTCTGAAACTATTTAAATATGTGGTATAATGCTTGAAATGTTACATTTTAAATGCTAAAAGCCGGCAAAGCATTAGAAAACAGTAGGCCTAAAATCTGTGATAACAATCATGTAAACTACACCTTTTTTTTCTATTTTACTCTGATTTTGTCCATTTTGGATTCATATGCTATTTTTATACATCTCTGGTTTTGAAACTGAAATGGACAACATAAGAGAAACTTAAAAAAAACCTATTCAGTTTACTTGGTTTTTAATTCATCACCTAAGGGTACATCTCAGTCATACAATATTGGCCAATTCAGGAGCATGAAATTCTTACAGAATATCTAATCGGCCAGTGAGGCCATGTCCATTCATTGAATGTCCAGATGTCAGGTAGTGATCAAAGCCATTGCAGAATAAGAAATGATGATGAACCATATAAGCATTGACAGTTCTACTTATGGATGCACAACTCACATGACTTTGCAAAATCTTTGGGAAAATCAAATGAAGGTCCTAGGCACAAGATGGGTGCTATTGGTCATGTAACAAGGTGAAGCGTGATCATTATTAACTGCTGAACAAAGTAACAATGCACATAACATCTGGCACTTGTATGATCAGTTGAAAGTGGAAAATAGAATGTTGTACTACCATTTTGTGTCACAGAAGTGTGGTAATCAACCTCTGATGCGGTAATACTGTATGGCATTAGGGAGTGTGACATGTCATTACAAATGTGCAGAAACAGTTTGCTGTATTCATATTTTAAAAAAACAAGTTGAGAAATAGTATATACACTATTCCATATGTGATACTCAGAGATAAAACTTGCCACATCAGAAAAAAAGAGTTGCATTGTGTGTTAGATGAGATGAAAATATATATTTCGCCTTATCATCATCAGTCTGATGGCTTAACTGAATGGTTAGAGTTCGTTTTGAGCAGAGTCTACAGCTACAACTTGCTACTGCTACTGGTTTTTTTCCTCGGCTGCAGTGGATAGATCGACGTTGCGACTTAGAACCATGTTGCTATAGGAATTGCCTCATTCAGGGAGTAGATGTATCTGAGACCCACATATTGCTACTCAGTAGCCTCTCAATATATTTAGGGACTGGAGTCTCATCACGATCACCAAGAAACATGTTCAGGAATGCCTTCTCAGATACTTAGATCAATGGTTCCGAAACTCTTTTAGTCTGGGGTTCCCTTGATGTGATCAGAATAGTTTGAGGCCCCCAACCTATAACTTTAGTATGGTGATTGAAAACAGTACCATAGTAAAAACAATAACATCTCCTTTTGACATACTGTATCATTTAATTAATTCAACATAATTTTAACGACTTATTGTATATTTAGAATTAAAATTAATTCAGCATCTTTTTTTTTGGCCGATTTTTTGGCAGCCCCTCAGAAAAAGCTTCAAGGCCCACAGGGGGGCCGCGGCTCCACTTTAGGAAACACTGCTTTAGATAACTTACATATGAAGACAAGTTTACATGGAGTCCTTCCTTTCAAGCTTTGATCGCTGAGTTCAGTACACGGTTGAGTATGAGGTGCAACTCATTAACAATCGTGTTCCAGTAGTCGTGTTGCTCCGTATTAAAGTACTCTGAGGCACCAAGCACTCTCTAGACCAGTGGTCGGCAACCTATGACCCGTGGGTCACGTAGTGACCCGCGGCAATAATTTGGCTGACCCGCCAAAAGTTGGCTTCACCATTGCAACCCGTAAGGGCACAATCATTGTTCAGTTCAAATTTCTCGGCTATGTGAGAAGAACAACGGTATTAAAGGAAAGATGGGAAAGAGTCACGGCTACGGAGAATGTTAAGATCAATTTCGGGGAAAAATATCAAACTGGTCGAACTATTAATTTTTTGTATGCAAATAAACATACACATTTAAAATACATGGACCGGTATTAATAATAATATGATTATCACTGACCCAACACAATGCTAATTTTAAAAAAAAAAATTACACCCGCGATCAAAAAAGGTTGCCGACCACTGCTCTAGACTCAGGATCAGAAGTTAAATTACCCATCACTGAGTCCATCTACTTCAAGCAACAGTTTGCTTGAAAGGTTGGAGGAAATGGTCCAAATCTCTATTCACTGTCCTCTTAAGCAGTTTTGATTTTGCCTGTTTGAAATTATCACCATAACCAAATGATGGTGCAGACAAATGCTAAATGCCAGCTTTTCTTTGACAGATTGTTTGTTTGTTTGGAATTTCGCGCAAAGGTACAAGAGGGCTATCTACGCTAGCCGTCACTAATGTAGCAGTGTAAGGCTAGAGGGAAGGCAGCTAGTCATCACCACACACCGCCAAATCTTTTATCAACGAATAGTGGATTGACCATTACATTATAACGCCCCAACGGCTGAAAGTGCGAGCATGTTTGGTGTGACGGGGATTCGAACCCGCGACCCTCAGATTGCGAGTCGAGTGCCCTAACCACCTGGCCATGAATGTTGGGGTATCGATGGCAGCACCCATAAAAAATATTGCCAGCAATATTCATTCCTCACACAAGTGATATAAAATTAGCTGTCCAAGCATAGTCATGACCAATGTTCCCTCTAATTTTTTCATGTGCATCAGTATCAAGGCAATGTTCGGATGTACACTACCAGTTTCTTTTAGCGATGGGGTATTTTTAGACCATCGACCCTAGTGGATCATTAGGCTGCTTTGCAATGCTACTAGTTAGTTTTCTGGGCTTTAGGCCCATCAACTGGCAGGGCCATTTAGGCTATAAACGTATTGAGACTCCTCATCATTACTGAGGAAGTGCGCAGCACTTAATTGAGATATAATCTTATGCCAAAAATTTGCAATAATTAAAAAATCAAGTAAATTGCAATTTCTTTTAATTTGTCCATTTCGGATTCAAAGTCATAGGTATGTAAAAAGAATATTTGAATACAAATGGACAAATTAAGAGGAGTGCAATGAAAATATACATCCGCAGTTTAACTTTTGGGGTTATTATATTATTTGATATTATTATGTTCTGAATGACAACAGCATTCGATAAAAATATTTTAAAACATAAAAAAAACAGGTGACAAACTTGATAAATCTGAACGTTATGTGCCTATGGCCATCTTTAGGATACTTTGACGTTTAAACAGTAACTTTTAAAATCTTTATACTGTATCATAAATAGTATTTCAGAGAAACTTTTGTCTCTTATCGTCCTGCTCGACTGACAAGTTCTGGTATTGAACAAAAGAGCCTCTTGGACAGCGACTTGTAGAAGACAAAAGATAGATTTGAAAGCTATTTTACACATCTCTGATTTTGAATCGGGAATGGACAAATAAGAAAGTTGTACTCTTGCAATGTTGTAATTTAATCTGCAATCATACTTTAATTTTTTTAGCCATTTAAGTGACAAGAGGTACACTTTAAACAGTAAACTTCGAGAAACAAAAGTAGTATCAGTAATATTTGAGAAGCACAACAGATTCAAGCAGTCCTTCTTTATTGTACAAAATTGGTGTTTAGGAGCTGTTAGTGTGAATTTAGTTTACAGCTGACAGCCTTCAACTAAGTCAAAATATTCAAATTAAAAAAAAAAAGGCATAAGGAGTATTTGTAATAAATAAATAATGTATTGACATTTTAGATATAACTTACATTACTTTTTTTTATTAAAAAGTCGTTAACTTGTATTATGATGTTAAAGATTGACCCATAGTTATCAAAAAAAGGTTACGTTAACCTTTCGATCCCATTTCTAGGATTCACCATAAATCTTTTATATATATTTTTTACTAGAATACCATAATTCATAACGCTTCAGTTTAACGAGGACTAGAAAATTATGTAATGCTAATTTTCTTGATTTCTCTGTTCCATTATTTGAAATACAGTCCTTAGTGTCTCTTAAAATATATGTATACGTAAAGCTACTATGTATTTGTTTGTTGTTAAGGGCAAAGCTAAACAATGGCCTATTCGTAATGTGTCCAATGTGATTTTCAGTGCTTTTAGCCCTCAGACGTACCGGGTGGCTCACCACGTGTCAGAATAGGAACCCAGTTAATTAATTAAATTACTTTCAGTCATCTCTTTTTCACATGAAACCACATTTCATGACTATTTCTTAACTACTGGCGTCCTTAGAATATCTTGATACCAATTCATAAATCGTATATGGAGGAATGTTGACATTTGTTAAGCCTTGTTGCAATCTTGAGAAGGGTAATATAAATTATTCTTCCCAATTTGGCGGTGTAAATAAACATCATTTCTTAGATTTTACCCATAGTTGACCTATAGTAAAAAGAATGTTAAATAATTAAAACAACAATATGTGATTGATTGATTAAATTTTATGAAATCGACTTAAAATGCAAAAACGAACGACAAAAGCTTCTAAAATTTTTCTGCAAAATACTTTATTTCATATCCAAAAGCAATAAATATATACCACGTAAAACAATTAATTACACAAGCATTAGAGTGCCTACAAGGCGGTTTGTGTATGCAGTAATCAGATACAAAATTAATTTTAAAATTAAGTTGAAGTTTGAGGAAAATGATTCAAATTTTTTTGTCAAGTGTGGTAAATTTGTATGGATAAGAAATCAAGAATGGAAGATAATTGATTATGAAAGCAGGCCTAATATATATGTGTGTGTGTGTGTGTATACATACGTAGGAAAACGTACGATAAATTTCAAGTGGTTTTCAAAATCAATCATAAAATCAAAAGTCAAGGATGAATGCAAAATCTTGTGATTTGAATACAATTAAGGATTTTTATTTTCTGTGCCTTTTACAGGAATTTGTACATTTGACAAAATAAAATCAAGATGCTACTAGCATAAACCAAACACAGACAATACACTGATAGTAAAGTGAGAACAGAAATAAAGTTTAATTCATTTATATGTATTTAAAATGGTCATTCAATAACCTTCTGTTCATTTAAAATATCGTTTCTTGAATTTCGCGCAAAGCTACTTCAGGGCTATCTGCGCTAGCCATCCCTAATTTAGAAGTGATAGACTAGAGGGAAGGCAGCTAGTCAACACCACCCACCACCAACTCTTGGGCTACTCTTTACCACCAAGGAATAGTGGGATTGACCGTCATATTATAACGTCCCCACGGCTGGAGGGGCGAGCATGTTCAGTGATGGGATTCGAACCACAGATTGCGAGTTAAACACCCTAACAACCAGGTCATGCCAGGCCTTTAAAATATTGAAGAATGTTAAATCAAAAATTAGTTGCTAGATGAATATTGCTCTTAGACTCAAACTATTGCATTGTTAGCTGTACATGTACAATGTTTATACAGACATTCTGAACACACAAATAAAGCCATGTAATAAAGTGCAGCTAAATGTTTACTTTCAACAGATATTAATTTTTGTTATTGAAAAAAACAAGACGAGAGACATGTTTAAAAATTACGTTAAATTTATTATGAGATAACCTGATGATTATTCTTTGATAGATTATTGTTTATCTTGAGAGAAATCTTGAAAATGATGGGTAAAGTTTAGCTCAGAGACAGAATATGTACACATGACGAGTGTAAATTATGAGCATTATGACATTTCTAAACAGAAGCAGGTTAGGAAATATCGAACAATATGTGACATACAGAACAAGAATCAAGAAGAAGATCTATAATAGTGCATACAACTATATGAAATTTAAGACTATACAACCTCATTTTATTAAAATTATGTAACAGTCCTGAGGTATGTACAACGACACAGATAACTAAAGATAAGATGGTTTGCTATATTTACCAACAGGCAAGAATGCCTGTCTTAATAAAAAGTTGGGTTTCAATTCTTATCAAATCATTTCCCACTAAGTTGCAATAATGTGACAACACAGGTAACTTGAAAATTGCTGGAACAAAAGTAGAGAATGGAGTAATGGAGGTTAAATTATATATTGTGAACTCTATGGACTCTTTGGTAAAAAAACTTTCAATGGCTTTGGGTAAACAGTGGCTCTACTCCTTTTCTGAGTCTCTGTGATGTATACTGTTTTGAAGAGTTCAGTCTTCAGTATGCACATTTACTTTGCTATATCTGAGCCAATTGGAAGAGGATGGGGCATTCCTGACATGGAGCGAATATCTGGTTTTTTGTAGAGTTCAAATGCACTACCCCGATTTTCCCTATTAGAAAGGTCCAACACACTAGGAGGTGGAAGAGGAGGAGATGAATGCTGTAACATTGAATATGGTGGCTGATGACTGCGAGGATGACTGGCAGATCCATAGGGTATATTGTGGTAAGGACCGCCTCCATTCACTAATGCTCCATGTCGAGGGGGTGACAGACTATTTCCTCCCATAACTTTTGTGTACCGCATATCATGACTGTGATCTAAGTTGCTCCCATGTCCAGAATCAAAGCCACCATTGTCATCATCTTGGTATAATCGTCGACCAGGGTGACCTCGATAACTATCAGAAAGTCTGCGAGGTTCTTCTGACACTGGGGGTGGGGGATGACGAGATGGGGAAGGTATGTCTGTTCCTGGGTAAGTTCGAGAAGGGTAATAGCCAGGAGGCATGCCAAATTCTGACTCATCACGACTGCTACGTTTTTGGCTGTATGGAGGTGGAGCTTCAGATAATCGAGAAGGTGGTGGTGGTTGAATGTCATGTGGGATCCGGTTGTCAAGAGTTCCATCATCATACATCCAAGGCCGTGCTTGAAAATGTATAGGTTTGGGAGGAGGAATGGGACGACCATCAGCTAACCTGTGTATGAATAAGAAAGTGAAAGAATCAGGGCTTTGTAGCTTCCACTTTAAATACTATAGAATAAACTTTGTAACATTTCAATTTCTTTGTCCTTCATAAATTCTATATCTTATATAAAAGTAACAGCAGTTGGATTTTCAATATGGTAATAAAATTAAAATCTTCATAAATACCATTATTGTTTCCATAAAATAATTTTCTTTATTAATTAACTTTATTATTTCCCACATTACATATAATTTTGAGGTAAAATTTCAAAATAAGCATTTTTATGAATATTAGATAAGAAAGAACACTATAGAGAAAATAATATAATCGTCTAATTTAACTTTGTGTTTTTGATACCTTCACAAAAACATTCTATACATAATTTGATATGTATTATTTCTAAATTTAAATTTGTTAATATACTCTTGTTTGCAAAAATAAATATGTGTACATAAGATTTAAAACTATTATTCTGAACCTTAAGTTAAGCCCAAAACTCACAATAACTAACTATAAAAATGTAATTTCATCATGTTATAAAATCATAAAAGCCCATAAAAGTGTGTTTCATTATGGTTGAAGTTTTCCTGCTATGAAAATACTGAGTCTCATATATTACAATAAATCTAAAAAATTAAACACCAGTTAAATGTGCCTTGTTTCATAACAAAAAATTCTCATCTTTTAATTCATTATCATTAGTTTTATAGAGATATGAGATGTTGCTAAATAATAATCACATGGTGCAAAGCTAGTCTTTTTTTGAATCAAGTTCTGAAGAAATTACTATTTTTTTTCATGAGAAAGGTAACTTTGACATATTTTCTCAGTGCTAGTTTCTTTCATATTTTTTTTTATATTGGAATAGTATAGTAAACTCTGAATTAAATATTAATAGATTTAATTTCCTGTGTTTCTTGACAATGATTTATTTAATGCTTTTGACTTGAAACACTTCAAAGTAAAATCAAATATATTCACATTAGATAAAATTGGGTGAATTATGAATAAATATTTTGAATAAATTACCCTAAAATCTTAAAAGAGGGAAGATTAAAGTTGATCTTCAGCTAAAACAACAGCAGAGTTGAAATTTAAGAATATTTTTAAAGTACCATTTGAATCAGTTTCATTGACAATATATTGATAGTTACAGCCCATGGTATCTAAGTGCCCTTGAATTCAAATAGTAAGAATTGGAGTCTGTCTGAATCAGTTTGTCCAAAAAAAAGCCATATTTAGCAAAGGGAAATATTCTTAAACAAGTATTGGCCAATAGCACTGATAGTCTCTACACCTGTGGGGCAAACATCTAAACAACTGATGGATAATGTTGTGAGAGATCCTTTCCATACCCTGGTCAGTGCAATGTGAAGCTCTCTGACATGCTTTGAGGGTTTAGGACTTTAAGTCATTTGGATTTAGATCAGGATTTCTTGCTTGATTTTTTCTTCAAGATAGTCTATCATAATCTTGGCAATATATATATATATATATATATATATATATTGTTTTTATATTTTGTGATAATTCTCCACCTAAAACCTTGTTCAGGTTGTCTAATGTATAGACCAGTTGTCTGGTAGAGTTATGTCCAATATTGCACTAATGTTACTGTTAAGCTGAAAATTTACAGCCTTGGCAGAACAGAAAGATCTGTATGCCCATTCACACTGATGTTTCTCTACACCATCAGTGATTTGCTAACAAAACGATTATTTTCACTTAAATTACACTGAGTATATTTCTCCTTTTTGGCTCTTCAGACACAAAACCATTGATTATTAAAACCTTACCTCACCTGTGAAAAATGCAGACACCTCGTGGTGTTGCTGACCAATTGTATGGGCTTAGAAAAGTCCAAATAAACAGTGTGGTGCTATTTAGTCAATTACGGTGCTGAAGCAGGTCTCTGATCTTTAAGTCAGAGTTATGACATTTGTACCATACCACTTGTTCATTGATAATTACCTCTGTCGTTGTCTTGAAGTTAACTTTAAGTCCATATACAATGGTTTGGTAATTTCTACTGGTCTAGTTGTGTAAATAATAGTCATTATATTCTTGACCTTGAGCACTTAAACGAAATCAAATATTCAAGCCTTTCTCTTTTATTTTTGATAGATCAATAGACAGTGGGCAGGTGCCTTAGGATTGGAAGGTTGCTAATGTTATTCCTATTTTTCAAAAGAAGTAAAGCTTGATTATAATTAATCATATTCATCATACAATAATAGGTCTATTATATGTTTTTAATGCCGCATTCTTTTGCTAGTCCCATAGAGAATTTCAAGTGTATAATAGTAGTATTCCAACCACACTATGAAAATGGTGAACATATTAAAAACATATAATAAACCTAATACTAATGTCATGTGGCAAGTATAATGAATTATAGATAGGCTAATTAGTTTTAATTCTGCAATAGGAAAAATTATGCAAGTCTGTAACTTGTAAAATGCAATATCCTAAAAGAAAGTCAGCATGGATACACTGAAAGTAAAACTTGCTGTACTACTGAATTAACGTTTTTGAGAATTTTACTTGTTACCAGAAGTACGTAAATTGTGTGGACCCATGTACTTAAGTGTTCAAAAGGCTTTTGATAAGGCACCACTGAAGATTACCTAAGAAAAGGTAAGTAAGAGGTGATCTTATTGAAGAATACAATACTATCTGGGAGACTAAAGATAAAAGCCTCTGATTTATTTTTGTTCAATTTGAAAGAAAACAGAATGAAAAGACAAATGTCTAACTTATACTATACTCCAGTTAAGACAGTTTTATTTTTGTAACATGGTGATTAGTTTACACCTTAAAGAGTCTAAGAGGGCAAATCAATGGTTTCCTGGAAAATAAAGAGTGAATTTAATGTTCACTTTTCTCTTTTTTATATCAGGGAATGGATGAGCAAGGACACCCATGAAGGCTTAAATGCCTCTTATTGTTTGTATATTTTGTGATAATTCTCCATCTAAAACCTTGTTCAGGGTGTCTAATGTACAGACCAGTTGTCTGGTAGTGTCCACTAAAGACCTCACATTTGAACAACTCTGTACTTCCATTAAAACCTCTTCCAATCACAATCAAGTAATACTCTCACCCAATTATATGATGAAACATTGTACATAGCTTGCACTGATCACAAGTTAATATTAATGTAAAAAAGTAATCAAAATTTAATTGATCACTAAAAAAAGAAAATGATCAAAGCTGAAGAATTGGGAAAACCGTTTTTTCAAAAGCATACAGTATGTGCAAAATGTATAATAACAAATTTGTATTTTCATATCAGGATGCATAAAAATTTGTACATTTGAATGACATTAATTTTTTATATTGCATCAAGGTGCAATTTTCTAGACTGTATCAAATGTTTATCTTTATATTTTTTTAATGATGTAGTGTGTATTTTTATTATGAGTTTTCAATGGATAAAGTATCATTAAAGTAGTATTTCTTATATATTTATTATAAGTTAATACCAAAAAAATTGGAAGTATCAAATCTTACTTTAAAATACTCTTATTGTTGTTAAAGTTTAATATTTTACTTATATTCTGCTCTCTTGTAATAAAAAAACAAAACAAAATCATTCAGAAAAAACAAACAAACCTTAGTTATATGGATTTTGAAGCAATGAAAACAGAAATGTGTGAAAAATGAAGCAGAAGAGTCGTTGGATACTAACATTAATTTTGTAACTGCAATTAACAATAGGTGTATGAGCCAGAAATATTTTTAATGGTGAAATTATTACTAGGTAGATGGTAAACAATTAACTTAATGGTTTTCAAAAGGAAAAATTAAACAGTTTTCTAAAGTTGAGTATAAATGGAGTAACCAGTCATTTTTCATATAGATACATATCTAACCACAGCACCATTAGGTAGACTAATAATGGAAACATAGTAAATGATCATACCTTGGTTGGTATCCAGCTGGCTTGGGTGGAGGAGATGGAGGAGGAGGAGGTCTGTCACCTTGGGGACTACAAGGAGGATGGGTATGAAAAGTTCAGCAAAAAGTTACAAGTTAAAACTTTAAAAAGTTTGAATGTAGTGATATAACACATTTTTAAAACTTTCAATTTCAAGGTAAAAATTTAAATAATATAGGATTGGCCTTAGGAATTGATGCATTTGTTTGAAACTACTGGAATATATAGCCACTACTTCCTGAATAACTTAAAGTAGCATTCACTTACTTTGTATAAACTTTATACCTATGTAAAATATATTTGTTTTATTTTTTGGCACTGAAAACATTTTTATTTATGATGAAAACTGGACCCTTTACAGTTCTTCACAATTTTTTCATTCAAAATCCTCAACGATACACTGAATGAACTGTATGAACAAAAGGTGATTCAATACAATAGATAATTTTAGTTTGGGTTAATAAAAGAATTTCATTCATTGTCAAGAAAAACTATATTTGTGGTATTTTAAAAAAAAATTTTACAGTCACAAAAATCAAAATCATATTTAATGCTATTACAATCATATAACTTTAAAAGAGATTTTTGTGCATATTATGTATAAAATAATTTAGTCATTCTTTGATAGATTGTTTAGGCAAAGTATTCATGATGAAACTTAGTTGAATTGACGGCAACTGCCTGTTGTAGAAACACAAGTATAGAGGACGACGTTTCGAAAGCCTTTCGCCTTTCGTCTTCAGGTCAGAGTGTATATGGTGTAGTCGGTCTTTATAATATTCTGGTGGATTGTGGAGAGCATGTTAGAATTGGTTGGTTTATTCCTGTTTTTGATTGGTGGAGAGACTTCCTGTAGATTCAAACAATGGTAGCCACAGGTTACTCACTTCTAATCCAGAATCTCTGTTTAGTGAAGGTTTTATTGTGTTAATGTAAAATGATTCTTTAATTTTTCTTGTCTTCCAAAATTTGTCTGTGTCAATGATTCTAGTTTTTCCAAGTTTATTTTGTGTCCAGTTGACATAGTGTGTTCTACAATGGCTGAATTTTGTGTTTTCATGAGTACTGTACTGTCTTTATGTTCTTTTATTCTTGTCCCGAGTCTTCTTTCCATTTCTCCAATTGCTGTTTGTTTTTCACCAGAATGGATCTTAATGTCTTGTACAATTTCCACTGGATGTCTATGTTGAATTTCTTGGCTATGCATTTGAGTTTTTCACAGAAATTTTGCGGGTATTGAAGGTAAATGTTAGTAGTGGTAGTGTTTTCCTTATCTTTTCTTTCTGTTATGGTCTCCTTCAAGGAGTTTTTGATGGAGGAGGTGTAACTTAACTGTTTAAAATACCCTATGATCTCTTGGCATTCTGTTTTGAGGGATGTCTTATTGCAGATGTTCTCTGCTTTCTTGTTAGGCATTGGATTATACCACGTTTTATCAATGTTCGATGATAGGACTGGAAGTGTAGGTATTTGTTCATGTGGGTGGGTTTTCTGTATACAGTTGTGGTGATTTTTCTCTCTTGTCTGCTGACAAGTATGTCAAGAAATGGTAGGCTGTTTTGTTCCTCTATTTCCATGGTGAAATAGATTCTTGTCTTTCTAGGCATTTAACAGCACCTCCTCTGTCATAGCTCTTCTGATCTCTCTTATGACTAACTTTTTGAGCATCTGATGTACCATCATGATTGCATCCACACCTGCTACACTGGTAACATCTCAGACATTTTACTACTTTACAATTGTGTGTTACCTTTGAAATGCACCTTGTTTCCATCTCAACAAGAACAAACACTCAGAGATTCTGGCTCAGTGACTCAGCAATTCCTCGCAGGTTTCACAAAAAGTTCCTAAATGGTGAGTGTTCCATACTTAATATACTACAACAACACAAAGACCATTGTCTGAATAAGGGTAAAAAAAATCACCCAACTATACTGACAAAATCCAATCATAACTCTTTTGGATATTATGCATTTTTATCATAAAATAATGCATATTTCTGTAGGTTTTCAGTAAAGAAGACTAAATGCCTGATATGGTTCCTACAAAGTGTTCTACTATTTTTGCTACTGTTATGTCAGATATTATTTGTTAAATAATTATTTGTAATGTTTCATCAATATCCATTAACTCCATCAGAGTACAGATAGCCATTGAGTATCTCTTCATGAACTTCCAAAAACTAATAAACAATGCTTCATTAGAAAAATACTATATCATTTTTAACTCTATTCTTCATTTCATTATTATCATGTAATAACAAATTAATCTAGTACATTTTCTGATAACTGCCTTAGTATTAGATGAAATATTACTTTGTAGAATGTGTAACTAATTTCTAAACAAATGTCATTTCAAAAAACAAATACTAATAAAGAGTTATAATGTAGTATTAATTATACAATCATGAAGACCAACACTCATACAGTTTACATACCCATATCTACTCGGTGTTCCTGGAATTCTTCCACGGTCAAAACCATTTACTCGAGTGGGTTGAGCTGTACTACGAGTAAACCTGTAGGGATCATGAGATGACCTGATGTTTTGGCTTGAAGTTGAGCTGAAACGATCACGAGGTCTGGCAGTTTCCTGAAGAAAATGTGTAAATGTTTTTGTTTCCTATCATTAACTGCCACATGTAATTTTTGGAAAGGATTATTTTCGGGTTTAAAATGGTATTAGGACAGTGAAAAGGTAAGATCTTGAGTATTTTATAAAAAAAAGTAGTTAATAACATAGGCAACAAAGACAGAAATTAAAGAATAGGTTACAAAATTGTCAAGTTTATTATATGTTTCTTTCAGAAAAATTAAGCTTTAAGCTAGTGCTCTTCATCAAATCTTGTTCTAAGCTTTATGACTTAATGAAGAGTGTTAGTTTGAGATGATATCTTCCAAAAAATAAAACTTAGTGATCTTGTGACCTATTCATAAATTTCTGGTGTATCTGACAAGCAATATCCTCTGAAGATGCAGTGTTAAACTTATATGCTGAACAGTGAATGATTAAGTAAAACCCCTCTATTTTCATGCAATGTTGTGTAGAGTCTTTGATTAACAAGGTAATACGGTAGTCAAAATCATTTAAGTAATTACAGTCACATTCTGAAAATTATCATCCTAACAGGAATAGGACTTATGATAAAAAAAATATATCTAAAAAATATTATAGTAAAAATAAAATAAAATTATTTACTACAAACAATATGGAATTGTTGGTATATTTTAAGCAAAGTTGTTGTGAATGGAACACAATTCATTTTATGCCCATTTTTACACCAAACTGTTAAAGTTACTGAATCTGGTGCACTTGATACAGCATGTTTTATATTGATGAAATATCATGCATACTTAGCAATTGATTTCAAGAACATCTTAAGTAGGTTACAAAAACTAAGTGTAAAGCATGTAGGCATTTTAGTTTTTACAGTCATTCTGCTAATGATATGCACATCTTTGTCCTTAAATGTACTTCTTAGAATGGACATTTCGAAATTAAATTTCTAAGTATATATCCTTAAGGAGTGAATTAAAGTTTTTTTCATTGCCTGTGACTTTAAGCTCACCCTATCCTACCTTCTTCTCTTTCTTCTTGTCATGTTTCAAACCCATCATAATATAATACTTTACTTTTATTTCTAGAATATATTTAGTTATTTTTACATATATGTTATTTAATCTAATTGTCAACAAATATATGGTTATCTTTATGCAAAGATATAATCATTTTGTTAAAAAAATTTTCACAATAATTATTTTATAATGGTCAACATAGTTAAAATATTTCAGTTTCATCACATCATGCTTAAACTCTATTTACTCTGTAATGCAGTAGCTTCAAAAGCTTTTATTGTTACGTTAAATTTGTACTGTGTATTATCTTAATGAATGCAGTGAACTACATGTTTTTTATTTTTGAATGATGCTCAGATCTGACTGTGAAGGCTAACAAAGGCCATTATTGGAAGTAATATAAAAACTAAGTTTTGATTATTTAACTGAAAAACTTTCATCGAGCAACAAAGAGGGCTGCTAGATGACAGAATTAAACAAATGTCTCACCAGTCTTCCATTTGATCTGTCAAGTGAATTTGATTTCTGTGCTCCTGTGTTCATATAATCTGGAGTGACACCTGGTTGTAGAGGTTCTCTCATTTCTCCTCTCCCTAATCAAAGAAATAACAACTGCATAAAAAAAAATCTCCAGAAATGTGTGTATTTCCTTATGATTAAATGGCATATTTTGTCACCCCCCTCCCCCCAGAAATGATGAAATATTATAAATTTGTGGGTTCAGAAGCAGTAATAGATAAGGATTTGTTAAGTCTTTATGTAATAGGAAAATAATTTTGTTTACCTGGACTAGCAAAAAGTCTTTCTTGAGCAGTTCGGAAACGAGTGGGTTTACTGGAGCGGTCAACATTAGGGGGAGGCTCAGGCTCCAACGAAGGTCTAGTTCGGGACAGGTAATTATCTTGGAAGACAGATACAAGAGTTACTTTTACATAGCCGAGCCAAATTATAGCCAATCCAGATTAAATATTTCAAATAATTTAAAATTTAGCTCAATGAGGATAGCTTAACTAGAAAAAAAACAAAAAAAACAGCTGGGTTTGTATGTATAATACGCATAACTAAAACAGTGCTTAATTTCAAACCCTCTTGAACTCCAGCAAATTGTGGTACTGTTATCCTAACTTTGTAATGTTTTTTAAAAATGTGTTGGCCCAAGTTGTTGCAAATGTGAATAATTTTGTGATAGTAAAAAGTAGATATATATATTATGGAACTAGTTTATATGATACTTAGAAAATACTTACTGTTGTCATTGAATCACAATACTTACTGTGATTGAAACTTAGTGATATGGAAATAAAGGGAAAGTAACAGAACTCAAAACATATAACACATTTATAATAAGATAACACATTACTTAATATTGATGCAATTAATTATAAACTTTCTTTAAAGCACTTTTAAAAAAATTAGTATGATAACCTGTAGCAACAACACTTCTAACCTATTCAAAAAAAAAATCTTACTTTTCATACCTGTAGTATCTCTTGAGTTGTATCGTTCACTTGAAGTTAAAGTTGCATATGGATCAATGATAGATCTCACAGGAGATCCAAAGAATCCATCCTTATCACCAACTTCTAAGGTAGCATTGGAAAATTACATCAAAATGAATCACACTTTGTCAATTTTCATATTATATTTCATTAACTTGTTCAATTGCATGATTTAACAAGTACACTAGAAAGATTAATTATACACAACAGATAGAAATATAAACTTAAATCTGTTCAGCTGACTATTGCAAGCTATTCTGATATTGAATATCCAAGTAAGAACACTCTATATGAAAAAAAAAAAATAGGGGGTGGGAGACATATAAAAAAGTTCCAAAAGTTTTTGATTAAAAGGAGTTTACACACCTGAGCTTCGTTTATTTGAGTTTGATCTAGTCTGATGCATTTCCTGGCTTGAAGGTTGAGTGGGTTCACGTAGATCCTAAAGTTTCAAATTATCTCATAGCTGTAATTAATTGCTTACGGACTCAAGATGACAGAGAAACATTTTTTTTTTCCATTAAAATTTCAAATAGTATATTAATGTACATTAACTTAAATTTTACATTCTAAGAAAAAATTTTAATATAAAGTTCAATTAATAATAAAAACTGTTTAAAATTGAAAATTGTGGTTTACTAAATGTAATGAAACTAGAAATATCTTAATTGCTTTAAAACTGTGGCTTTGATGGATAATCCTGTTTTCTATAATCAATTAGAATACAAGAAAACTATTTTGAAATGAGTCCCATGAGGACATCTCTGAGCATTACTGCATTATCTTAAGTTGTGATATAATAACAAAATTGGAAATACAAAATTAAGCATACAAACGTTTATTACATTAATGGAATGTGTGTGGTATAAAAACAAATTACATATGTTATTACATTTTTTTGACTCAAGATATTCAAAATTTACAGGTATAAAAGAAGAATAACAATTTTATACCTGTCTCGTTTGTGAGAGAGAGTAAGTTGGAGGCTGTCCATACATTGGAGGAGAACAGTTTTCTTCTTGTGTTACGATACTTGGATCACTAGATGCCTTTACCATTCGAGGGTCCACAGCTAAAGAAGATCCTGCTCCATGCATGCTCATAGGTCGAGAATCAGATGCAAGCTCTAGGTCACTTTCTGGAGAGGATGCATAACTCAGACGTGAAGTCAATGGGAAAAGAAAATCATCTGAGATGGCTTCATTGGGCTATTAACAAAATAAACTACAGTTGGACCTATGCTAACTTTAAAAGGTATTAATTTCTCTTTAGGCTCAAGCTCAAATTAGAGTAGGTTATTATACTCTCACATTTTCATCAACTCTTACAGAGCATTATCTTCCTCTGTTTACTCTATAATGCAGTAGCTTTAATTGTTAAGTTACATCTGCAAAACATGGAAGAGAAGAACATCTACATTTGCGATTTGATATTTGTGGTTGGCACAGCAAAGATAGCCTCTTGTGTAACTTTGTGATCAAAATAAACAGACAAACAAAATCTTTTCATATACATGTATATTAGCTTTCTTATAAGTTAAATTTAAATTATATAATATTGTGCTCTAAATGATAATGATAAAGATTGTAAGTTTTATGACAAGAGTACACAGAAAGATATTTTATTTAAACAATTTTAAACTAAATTTGTAAATTAGGTACCATTTCACTGGGAATACAGAGGGAAAACATTGAAATAAAGATTCTGTAATAAGAAATATTTTGAAAGAGTAGCCATGAAAATACAAGATACATGTATATTAATGGGATATGTATTTGAATGTTAAATTGAGTTATTCTTAAATGTTACTTAAACATAAAATGAAATAAATAAAGACAATAATTGAAGATCCCTTGGTGGTTGATTGTAAAATGATAACAAAGAAATACTTAATGTGATTAATTGATATTTGGGGTTTATTTTTCAATAAAATTTAAATGAGGAATGCACATTATATATAGTGTCATATCTTTCCAATTTTTAAATGATAACATTCAGATTACCTAAAATCTATATAAATATAATAGTACTGTCTGTTGTATGTCCATGTAACTACTTCACAGGGTATGGATGGATCTTCACCAAATTTGGTATGGAGGCTCATTGGATCCATAGGGAGATACATAAAAAAATTCAGTTTTGCATTTTGTGGCTTTTATGGGCATTTTTTACCACTACCTCACCTCCTGTGGATGGATCTTCACAAAATTTGGTATGGAGGTTCATTTGGTCCATGGGGAGATGCATACAAATTTTCAGTTTTAAATTTTGCAGTTTTTATGGGCATTTTTGCATTTTCTACCACTGCTTCGTCCCCTGTTGATGGATCTTCACAAAATTTGGTATGGAGGTTCATTTGGTCCATGGGGAGATGCATACAAATTTTCAGTTTTAAATTTTGCAGTTTTTATGGGCATTTTT